TTGCACACTTTCTGTAAATCCAATTAACTTCATTTCACTTCTCAAATATCACTGTGTGTGTCTCCTATATGATATAGTTAACTGACATTTTTTATTGTAACAATCAACGATTTATACAGGAAAATAATGACTATTAACAAGGTTGTCCAAACTTTTGCATCCCACTGTAAGCAAAACCGTTAATGCAGTCATGCAACTGAAAACACGGGGAGGGGGGGGGGAGGGGGGGTGTAGGTGTGTGTCGTACCCTGTTAGCAAGTGGCAAGAATCTGACAAAAGAACCACTGAATGCCACCACTTGCATGACCATCATGATGAGGTCCACAGATGTCTCAGAGATCTCCACACAGATCAGCCGCTCCTCCAGAGACTCTGAATCTGGAACGTGCTGAAAAACAATGAAAAGCCGCTGTTAAGGAGCAGGAAATAGAAAAACTTTTTTTGGATGACTACAGATATAATTAAGTGATAGCTTACTTACAATATTGCTCCATTTCATCAGATTTCTGTACATGACCTCCTACAAAAAGATTTTAAAAGATATTGTCACACACATTGCTATTCTGTAAATTCAATTATCCAACTCATAAACTGTATGCAGTAAACAGCATACAGTTTTAGAAAATGTATAAATTATGTAACTATATCAAACATTTTGAAAAATTATCCAACCAAAATTGTAAAACACGTCCCTATCCCAAAGGTATAATTCGATTTTATTTATATAGCGCCAAATCACAACAGCTGCCTCAAGGTGCTGTAAGGTACATTGCATTACATTTTAAGGTATCTTTTAAGTCATAAATCAAAACATAACATCAAACAGCTTCACAATAGTACTGCAATGTGGGTAAAATTCGGGGCAGAGCATAACGAGTAAATGCACCGGTTGAAAGTCAAACTAATTTGCGTCAAACGCCAAATTGAACAAGTGGGTTTTAGGCGCAATTTAAACGATTGAATGGACTCAGACGTAAAGACATCAACTGGGAGATTGTTCCAGTGTCCCCTTTGGGTGGAGCAATGTTTGCCACAGTGTGTTTTGGGGTTTAAAAGCCACAGAAACATGGTATCAAGAAAAAAAAAAGTGTCTCAACTGTTCCGGTACTCCTGACACACACCAGATCAACTAAAGGTTTTCGCTTAGGCAGCGGTTGTCCTTCTCTCCTGGATTGGCTGAAGCTTCCGAGCTTTGACAAAAGTCCAGATAGGATAACCACATTTACTCAGGGCCTTCTTAATGTGAAGTTCTTCTGCTTTCCTGGCTGCTTTGTCTGTGGGGATGGTGTTCGCTCTGTGTTGTAGCGTCCCAATGACACCTAATTAATCCTTGGTCCAGCCCAAGGATCAGGTCCCCCGACACGAACAGAGTAACATAGTGTACGCTGTCAAGTGCCAGGAGGATTGCCAGGATTTATAAATCGGGGAAACCATACAACCTCTGGCAAAGCGGATGACACCACACAGAAGAGCTACCTCTTCTGTGTGGTGTCATCTGCAGTTTATTTACACCTACAGTGGGGCAAAAACGTATTTAGTCAGCCACCGATTGTGCAAGTTCCCCCACTTGAAATGATGACAGAGGT